AAAAAAAAAAAAAAAAACACATCATAGTAAAATTAATACCTTCTCCGCTTCACATCGAAGCTAAAAAAAAATTTGTTTTCAAATTATTACTGATTTGATTTTTAATATGTTAAAAATAATCAGTCCAAATTTTCAATTTTAACCTATTTTTTTGGTTTTTTAAAGTTGATGAAAAAGTTTTGATAAATATTAATGAAAGTTTATAGTAAAAAAAATTGAATATATTATTATAACTTTTAGCTCAATTACAAGTTTAAAATTGACATCAAGGCCAGTCAATAAAGGAAAAATTGCTGAAAAAAATTCCAAACAAATTTTGTTTTTTTAAAAGTTGAATTAGAATATTTATAATGACATACTAATAGTTCTCAAGATTGGAATTGAGCTTTTTTTTTACAGTCTCGCAAAAGTTCAAAAATATGAACTTTTTTAATTTTCTCAAAAAATATTTAACTTACAAAAAAAGTTTAGTACAAAAGTTTTTGAAAAGACAATTATAAAAAAAAAAAGATTATCTTATATTTTTTCATTTAAACAAACATTTTTCGAGTTACATTACATTTAATATGAGTACTAAAATTTATATTCATAAATTCTAATTTATCAATTAAACAATTAGTTATTACATGTTCTCCATAAAGACAATTAAAATGATTAATTTCTAATGTTTTCAAAATATTTATTAACGAATGATGTTTGATATGATAGGTTTCAATTACAAAATTAAATCATTTTACTGTAATTTAATAATTTTTTTACTCTATTTGTGTTTGCTACTACTATGTCTTAATAACAATCGTTAAAAAGTGTTAATAAATAAAGAGTATATTTTATAATACTATAATAATATTTACATTGTATTACTACTAGTCATATTTTGAGTGTTAATACAATTTATTTCTACAACGTTTAAAATTTCCACGCAATGTTTAAAATGGGACAATCCAGCTCCTTTTCCCAATCACATAAATTAATTTTGTTTACCTATCTGTACCTGTGTACTCAGTTGGTAATTTTTGCTATTTTTTTATTTTAGTATATAAAAATAATATATAAAATATAATTTTAGTAAATAAAAAATTGTATTAATATCTAATATAAATTCTATTGTAATAAATTTTTTATGATAATTAGTTTTTTTATTAAAAAGATAGATATAAAAAAATAAATTGATAATTTTTCGAAAATGAATATCGCAATAATACTAAATATTCAAGTGTACTTATGTATATTTTTCACTATTTTACATACTGAAGGAACACGTAGTAAAAAAGAAACTGCAACTATCATTAAAAATTTTTTACATCAACCAGGATGGAATAATATAAATGATGTCAGATTAATTAGGTATTGGGGCAAAAACTATGAACTGAAAGATTTATTTATTGAACCTGTAACATTATATAATTGTGATAATTGCATACGGAAAGCAACGTTGTTTCTTGGATGTTCTTACATTCATGATTTAAAATTAATATACTTATCATTAATTGAATTTCAAGAACATTGTTCTGATCTATTAAATTCTGGCGATGATAGTGCGCACAATTGTACGGTCACACTTTTAACACAAATGAGAGAAATTATTCCAATGTCAAAATTTATGAATGGAGCTTTATATGCTATAGAAAAATATCATACTATTCCCTGGAATATCCAAAAAAGAAACCATTTTATTTTAAGCAGTTTACTAACAAAAATACAGGAAGATGAAACTTTATTGTCTACGCTGAAAATCAGTTCGGATTCAATTAGAGATGTATTAGAGACTATCGCGAAAATATTAATCGCAAGGAATCTTAAAATTGATGATTATAATTTATTTTGTTTACTAGAAGACTTAGATTTTAATTCATTATGGAATTCGTGGAATACAGATTTCAACAAATTAAGATATCAAGGGAAATGTCAAGAACTTTTCATTTTTCTTAGTGATAAAATTAGAAATTTAATCCTAACGACAATCATGAAAAAGTATATTGAACTTGGATTTAAATATGACTGGAACACAAGTCAGACTTTTTTACCTTCTCTACCATCTACCAATATCAAGCAAGGTATGACTATTTATGCAATGTTACATTTATTTAAAATAATTTGTTGTTAACATATTTAAATATCACACAAAATTCTTATATAAATTTGATAGGAAATATCAATGAAGTAGATACGTCAAAAGTAAATAGTAAAGTATCCCTAATTCTTGACATTTCTACTATTTTTTATTCTAAATAAGTTTTAAATTGACCTAACAGCCATTTGAATATGTTTCGATATTACAAAATATCCTTCGATACTAGATTAAAGAACAAAGTAATGAATTTATAATACAGTTGGGGCTCGTGTGGGTGCTGGTGGTTGGATGCTACTTTACGTCCAAACTTTGCTCATGTGTGTATGCATACTCGCATATACTGAGGGAAACAACTTTATTGTTCGCATATGACAAATGTATTATAACTATTTTACTATTTAAAAATTTGCATTTTTCATAAAAATGTAGAATTCAGAATATACAAAAGATTTTCTTCTTCTAATTAATTTTAGTAAGGGTGCGATCGTTATGTTGTCTAAGCCACGAGCCGCCACTGCTAGAATAGTTTTATTTATTCATAATATACTATTAAAATTAGGATGCGATTAACTCATTTATAATATTTTGTCCATAATTTATGGAAAAATACAAAATTTACTCAGCGATATGTACGAAAACCAAAATAATTTAAATTACATTCTATATGTTAAGTGTTTAATATTTAATATTTAATATAATAATTATTTTCATAATAATAATTTATTATAATTTTATATAATACATTATATTCATGTATATTCTAGGGGCATGTTTTACCTGTCTCTCCCAAACAAATGTTTGGTAATGAATTAAAGTGCACAATACAAATAAGTTTCATAAAAAAAAATATTATTTTGTGAAATTCGACTCTAGAGACTATTTTTCTCAACATTTTGATCATTGAGCTTTAAATAATGGTTTATGAAAAAAAATTGATAGCTTGGATATTTTCGGAGATATTATAAAAATAATAAAGTAGTTATATATTTCTTCACTTTTAAAGTGTATAGAAATTTAAAGGGCTTGATGGAGTAATTTTTAATCAAAAATGATTGTTACTTATGGATAAATACACTGGTCTACAAGGAAATTTTATTAGAATCCAAAATATACTTTTCTAAAACAACTTTGCACAATACTTTTCAATTCTGAAATGAGACTTTTTCCATCGCTTATAATTTTTGATATTTTTAATAAATATTAAAAATGAGTATTTACACATAAAAATAATTAAAACAAAAACAAAATTTTTTTTCAAATTTCTACTGATTTGGATTTTTAATATGTTAAAAATAATCAGTGTGAAATGTCATTTTTAACCTATTTTTTTAGTCTTTTTAAGTTGTTTTTTAAAAATTTACAATAAAAAAAAATTAATTTATTACCATAACTTTTAGCTCAATAAGTAAGTTTAAAATTGACATCATTAAATAAAAAATTTTAGAAAATTAAAAAAATGTTATTATTAAGATTAATATGCAGTTAGGAAATTTAAAACTTACTATTTACTGCAAATTTATCACAAAATCTCAATATTTTTTTGCATTTTTATCGTAATAGATAACTTATATAGAAATCATACTAATAATTTCTTATTAACCTTTGAAAAATTTAAATATTCAAAAATAATCAATTTTTATATTTTACTTTAACTAAAAAAATTAATAAAAAATTGTTAAAAATATCAACTAAATTGAGTGTATTATAGAATTTGATTATAATTGTAAAATTTTTTTGTAAAATTCAGGCAAAACTAAAAATAATTTTTTTTAGAAATGATTTATATAGCAACTTATTACAAAAAAAATCCAGTACAGTGGGGTTGAGGCACAGTGGTGACGTAGCATAGTTGAGTCCAGTATAATGATATCTAACAGTGATTAAAATCACGATCATAAAAAACGCTTTGATGCAAATCTGTAGATGATGTTGTATTTTAAAAAATTGGTGGATTTTTCCAAAAGCAAAATGATCTCCTCTTGTAATCTCCTGATTACAAGTGTAATATTATATAATATATTTATATATATATGTAATATAAATATATTTATAAAATATTTATATAAAGGTTATAGGTGTTTTTTTAAAAAAATTATGTCGAATAAAAGAGGGTTATAAAAAAATTGTATTGATCCATACATTGTTCGAGAAGTAATAGTAATTTAAAGTTGAAAAAATAAAATATGAAATCGTAAATTTTAAAACCAAAATTACATGTTTTGTCGTTGGGATAAATTTTTTTTTTTAACATTTAGTGAATAACATTAGATTTATTTTAACATATGTTTGAAGCTCGGAATATTTCCGAAACTATTTCCCAACTTCAGTTGAAAAAGTTAAATTATTATGCATTAGTTTATATAGTGCATTCCTCCCGTTGAAGGTAAAGATTGGGATTTTCAAAAAAATTATATCAAATGAAAGGGAAATATCTAGGGTTTCAATACAAAACAGTTATTTTAATTCTTTCATTTTTCAATAAGTTACAGCAATTTTTTGAAGAAAAAAAAATGTCAATGTTTACCGATTTTAAAAATCGTAATTTTTTGGGGGATTTTCACCTTTACGGGGAACGACAGAAAATTTTTTAATTTTTGTGTGTAACGTCATCAACTAGATACTATTTGTGATCTTTTGACGTATTGTTGAGAAAAATCGGTCCAGTAAGTAATGAAAAAAAGTGTTAACTGACACAAACAAAAAAAAAATGAATATATAAAAAAAACACATCAGGTAAAATTAATATCTTCGCATAAAAACTCAAATAGATTGATAACTTTTCGAAAATGAATATTGCAATAATACTACATATTCAAGTGTACTTATGTATATTTTTCACTATTTTACATACTGAAGGAACACGTAGTAAAAAAGAAACTGCAACTATCATTAAAAATTTTTTACATCAACCAGGATGGAATAATATAAATGATGTCAGATTAATTAGGTATTGGGGCAAAAACTATGAACTGAAAAATTTATTTATTGAACCTGTAACATTAAATAATTGTGATAATGTCATACGGAAAGTAACGTTGTTTCTTGGATGTTCTTACAATTATGATTTAAAATTAATATACTTATCATTAATTGAATTTCAAGAACATTGTTCTGATCTATTAAATTCTGGCGATGATAGTGCTCACAATTGTACGGTAACACTTTTAACACAAATGAGAGAAATTGTTCCAATGGCAAAATTTATGAATGGAGCTTTATATGCTATACAAATATATCACAATCATTTCTTGAACACCCAAAAAAGAACCAATTTTATTTTAAGCAGTTTACTAACAAAAATACAGGAAGATGAAACTTTATTGTCTACGCTGAAAATCAGTTCGGATTCAATTAGAGATGTATTAGAGACTATCGCGAAAATATTAATCACAAGGCTTCTTGAACTTAATGAAGATAAGTTATTATGTTTACAAGAAGACTTAGATTTTAATTCATTATGGAATTCATGGAATACAGAATTCAACAAATTAAGATATCAAGTCAAATGTCAAGCACTTTTCATTTTTCTTAGTGATAAAATTAGAAATTTAATCCTAACGACAATCATGAAAAAGTATATTGAACTTGGATTTAAATATGACTGGAACACAAGTCTGACGTTTTTACCTGCTCTACCACCTACCAATGTCAAACAAGGTATAACTATTTATGCAATGTTACATTTATTTGAAATAATTTGTTGTTAACATATTTGGATATCGCACAAAATTCTTATACAAATTTGATAGGAAATATCAATGAAGTAGACACTCAAAAAATAAATAAGATCTATAATAAGTAGGAAAGTAGGTGAATTCTTATAAAAAATTAGAATAAATACATTTTTCTTTACGTTTTAATCATTATATAGTATATATAACATATTATATTCTTTTTAAAAAACAAAATTGCACGGATAAATTTTTTGTTTTAATTTTTATCATAGGCTATTAGCTAGATAGTATACAAAACATAAAAGAAAAAAATATATATAATGATATGTCATAATGTGTCTACAATTGGTTAGTAAGGTAATTTTATCAAAGAAAAGTAATTAGTTCTAGTTCATTCTAGTATATACTTTAGTCATTCCAAAATATTCTATTCTATAATTGTTATTATAAATAAAGTTATCCCCTCTAGCCAAACTAGGATGATTTAAAGTTTAAACTTCCCATTCACTGTACAAAACTAACATTTTATTTTTGTAATTTTGTACTATGATTATAAAATAATGTGCTATTGTTTTATTCAATCAATACGAAACATGATTTCACTTTTTTATTAATAATTTATTTTTATTTAAAATTAGATGTCAATTTTGAAATGATAGATGATGATTCAGTCTTACTAATAAAGTATCCTGATGGTATGGAACCATTTAATAAGTACCTATAAATTAATTTTTTTTGCTAAATGTTTCTCATAGTTCCATTATTATATACAATAATTGTGTTAATTTAGTTTGTATGCATGATTTAAATATTTATTAGTGAACACAATTAATTATTTCTAACATTACATTTTATTAGTATACTCAAAAAGTTTGTGTTATTTACTCTTTTACACTAATAATAATAAAACAAGACGCATCACAAAAACCTAAAACAATATATAATAACATTGTTACCTATATAACAATAATTTGATCCAAAATTTTGTTAAAATAATTTTAATAGAAAATTTTGTTTATTTATGTACAAGGTGATTTATTTATCATAAACCACTTAATTAAACGAAATATAAAAAGTAATATTGATTTTTTTTTTCTTTTAGGTACAGTTTTTTCTCAATATATTAATCATAGAATTTATTTTATGTTCATTCCTAAATAATCCTAAATATTTTTGGAAGTATATAAAGAATTGTAAAAATGTAGACTATCTAATATAATGAAGTATGNTAAACCGACTACCTAATGTAATGAAGTACGAGAATTCGCGCTTTGATAATATGAGAGACATTGCTAATATTTTTGGTGAATATTTTGGTTCAGTATTCTCAGCACATAATACTGATCCGTTTTCTTTGGATAATTACGAATGNCCGTTGTCTTTGGATAATTACGAAGGTGATAAAATTGATTTTTCCAAGTGTGATTTATCTTTATCAGATATTTATGAAGGTCTTTCTCATCTTAAAAATAGCACTTCAACTGGACCTGATTTAATTTCTAAAATATTTCTTAATAATTGTCGTTGTGCTCTTGCCCGGCCGATACACTTCCTTTATTCCCTTTCTTTATCATCTGGTTGTTTTCCAGATCTTTGGATATTTAGCTTTATATATCCTATTTTTAAAGCTGGTGATAGAAGTGAGGTAACTAATTATCGCCCCATATCTAAGCTTAATGTCTTACCAAAGTTATTTGAAAAATTATTACTACCTAAGCTTGAATATACATTTCAACCTATTTTAGTTAAAAATCAACATGGCTTCCGTTCATCAAAATCAACTATAACAAATCTTCTTGTTTTTTACACTACTTTAATATCCGATATAAGCTCTGGAGGCCGCGTAGACGCTGTGTATACTGATCTCAAAAAAGCTTTCGATAAAGTTGATCATTCAATTTTGTTAAAAAGCTATGACTTTTGGGTGTAGGTAATCCAATGCTTGCGTGGTTTTCTTCCTTTCTCAAAAATAGAAATCAACAAATCAAAATAAGTAATTTTACTTCAAATATAATTAATGTTACTTCAGGTGTACCACAAGATGACCATTTGTCTCCTTTACTTTTTATCGTTTTTATTAATGATTTATGTCGAATTTTTCAACACTGCAACTATGTGCTTTTTGCGGATGATCTTAAGTTATTTATGACCATTCAATCAATTGATGATTGTGGTAAATTACAATCAGATTTAGATAAATTCAGTTTATGGTGTAAAAAAATGGATTAGTAATTAATACAAATAAATGTCATCAGATAACATTTACTTGTTCTAAAAATGTAAATATTAATCAGATTACGATTGATGGTTGTAATTTGCTTAATGTTTATAATATTAAAGATTTAGGAGTTTTATTATCCAGCGATTTATCTTTTTCTAACAATATAGATTATATTTACAATAAAGCGTCACGAACACTTGGCTTTTTGAGAAGAAATTGTAATGAATTCAATGATATTTTGTGTATCAAAACCTTGCACATTTCTTTTGTAAGACCAATTTTAGAATATGCATCTATTATTTGGTGTCCATATAAAATATGTGAAATTAATAGAATAGAATCTATATAAAGACGTTTTTTACATTTCATTTCTTTTAAGTCCAAAGATTATAATGTGTCGATCGATGAAATACGAATATCTCTTGGTTTAACTTCCCTTGCTTACAGAAGAAAAAGCAATGATGTTTTTTGGATTTATAATCTCCTTAATAATAATGTAGATTGTCCAGAAATTATAAGTCTAATTCCTTTTAATGTTCCTAATTTTCATCTCCGATCTAATAATTTATTTTATGTTAACTCATATCGTCAGATTTATAGCTATTATTCACCGGTCAATAGAATGCTAAATTTTTCCAATTTAACTAAAAATTTTGATTTCTTTAATGACCATTTAACCAAGTTAAAATCTATGTGTAGCGATGTATTTTAATTATTGATTTTGTATGTTAATAATTTAAACTTCTATGTGTGCTGTACTTATTTAATTATTTGGATATTTTGTATTTATATTCTGTACTCATTGCCGTCTGTGGCGTACTCAATATTTATTTGTTTTTTTTTCTGTTTGATTATGTTGTGTCTTGTATATTATAAAAATAAATACACCTTATAAATGTGTCCACTTTATTTTTTCGTATAACTACACATTTATTCAACAAGTTTAAATAATATAAACTATAAAGTTGTAAAATTGTAAAAAAGGACGAATCAATAACAAATTTTGAATTAGTATTTCAAATGTTATCATTTTTTATTATGGCGAGAGGAACAGTACAGCCAATAATTGACTAGTGATAAAAAAATCAACACCCGTGTCTGACCTTCAGTCATCACTGTAACATGTTCATAACTTCCAAAATACTGGTTCAATGATTATTATCGACCCGTTATTTTCTCAATTAGATCATTATCTTTTTTATAAGCTAGTTGAGTATGTACATTGTCACTTAAACAAATAAAGTAGACACTACTTAAATAATGAGGAATGATACTAAGAAGCAGGCCTAGATAGGCTAGGCGAGTTATCGAGAAAATTACGGTAGGCCTATTTAATTAAATACCCCTAACAAATAATCGAGCTATCATTTTATTATAGGCATAATCACTTCTAGATAACTACAATACTGTGAGGTAATTCCTTACTATTGAACTAAACCATAAGCTATTAGGATTTTAAGAGTATTTTTTCCATATAGAAATTTTTTTTGATTAATAACGAATAAAAAAACCCAGCACAATGAGGTGGCGGCACAGTGGGGTCGTGGAATAGTTGGGTCCAGTATAGATGATATCTGACAGTGATTAAAATCACTATCATAAAAAACGCTTCGATGCAAATCTATAGATAGTGTTTAATTAAAAAAAAAAATTTGTTAAAATAGCATATTTTTGAATATGGTAGCCAATTGCGCATAGAAGATAGGTTGTCGGGACAAAATTTTTTTTTTCATTTTATAGACATAAAATAAGCTTTAATTTGATATATGTTTAAAGGACGCAGTATTTCCGGAACATTTTCAAAAATTAAGTTGAAAAAGTTATTTTTTGTAAAAAACTTACTATTTTAAATCCCCCTAGTGAGCAGAATAAGTGTTACATTTTCAAAAAAAATTATATCAAATGAAAGGGAAATATCTAAGGTTTATTATTAAAAATACTATTTTTATTTGTTCATTTTTGAAAAAGTTATGGCAGTTTTAAGTACAAAAAACATCCCAATAAAAGATAATGTTTATCGCAAACATTACATTTTTTTTTAATTTTTGACAGCCATTTGCACATAGAAGATAAGATGTCGGGACAAATTTTTTTTTCATTTGATAGTATATAACATAACATTTGATTTGATATATGTTTAATGGACGCAGTATTTCCGGAACATTTTCAAAAGTTTAGTTGAAAAAGATCTATGTTTTTTTCAATGTTTCAAGTTTTGAACGCCCCCTATATATGGGGTTATTGTCCAATTTTAATAAAAATTATGTCAAATGAAAGATGTACTTATAATATATTTATAAACAAAAATTTGTGCTGATAATTACATTTTTTGAAAAGTTATAGCATTTTTAAGTCGAAAATTTTAACACAAAAATAGCATTTTTTTAACTACGGCAGCCTTTTACATGCAGAAGATAAAGTGTCGGGACAAATTTTTTTTTTCATTTTATAGCACATAAAAAAAGCTTTAATTTGATATATGTTTAAAGGACGCAGTATTTCCGGAACATTTTCAAAAATTAAGTTGAAAAAGTTAATTTTTGCTATTTTAAATCCCCGCCAATGAGCAGGTAAGTGATAGATTTTCAAAAAAATGATATCAAATAAAAGGTAAATATCTAAGGTTTTAGTATAAAAAAAATTATGTAGATTTGTTGATTTTTAAAAAAGTTATGGAAGATTTAAGAAAAAAAAAGTGAAAAAATTTCGAAAATTTGCGATTTTTAAATTTGTAATTTTTTTGGAGGTTTCCCCCATTTACCGGGAATGAGGGAAATTTTTTCAATTTTTAAGGGTAATGTCTTGGACTAGATACGATTTGTGATCTTTTGACGTATTTTTGAAAGAAATCGGTCCAGTGAAAAAAAATCACAAAAAACACATCATAGTAAAATTAATACCTTCTCCGCTTCCCATCGAAGCTAAAAGTTACATTTAAATTTTGTAAATTTACGCAATTTTGAAAAAAAAAACTTTTTTTTTAGTTATTTAAGTAATTTATGTTTTATTGATAAAATATTTTAATTGGATTGAGAATACATTCCAAATCATTAAATACCAAATACGAGTACAATGAAAAAAAATATTTGGACAATTATTTTTCCTTTTTCAGTAGATCCTATTGTAATATTTTTAATAAACACAAAAATCTATCCGGAAAGGCATCGGATAAATCAAATTAAATTTAAAGAAGTACCGTGTTATCGCTAAAGCTCAATTTGCGTATTTAATCGAAAAACACTTTTAGTAAATTAATATACTATTTGATGATATTTTGATGAATACTCAACTTTTAACATTTAAGTTGAAATTGATTACCATTGTGTGAACTCTTAACATTACATTATTTTTCGATAAACTGTATGCAAAATTATAATATGTTGGAAATAAAAAGTTAATATTCAATTAGTGATCACTTAAAATATAATATTAAAATAGTTTACGTTTTTTAATCAATCGAATAAAAACATATTTACTTAATGTGCACTTAATTCATTACTTTTGGAACAAGCAGTCTGTACAAAACTATAAAAATATTATTAATCTGCTTTAACACGAGCGTGATTTTAATATATTAAGTAGAATGGAATAGCGGCTATTCAATAGCCCATGGAAAAATTCCATAAAGCTACCCTACAACAGTTATCTAACGATTATATATTAACACCTCAAGATATGTATTTATTTTGTAAGGCATATATCAAACGTTTTTATTTTAGGTATTGATAACTTTCAAAACGTTTTTTAAAAATAATCATTTTAAATTTATGAGT